TGTGAGCCGGAAACTCAATAACGAAGTATTTCAGTGACCATCTGTCGATCTTGAGCTCAACCTTCTCAAAAATGGGAAAATGGTTATGGGGGTATAGGCTGTAAAAGGGGAAACCACCGATACTGAAGAGGAGAAGGAATTCGTCCAGTTTCGGGGTCTTGTCCAGGGCACAGCACCGCAAGATGTAGGACGCGATGTACTTGTGCGCGTTGGCAGTCAATTGATCACCCGGAGCGAATCCGAAATGGAGGCAGAGGTCGCGGAGCAGGCCGTGGAGGGGCAACCTAAATCCATTCTCCATGGAGTGGTAGTGCATGACCATATATTTTTGGGGATTTGGATTGTAAGATAAACTGATCCCCACCAACGGCATCGGGATGGTGGACCCGGAAGCCCTTGCCCAGAAGTGCGGCCATCTCTTGAAGTTCGTTTTCTTTGATAATGGAGGGGCCGTGGGTCCAGGTTTCAGGATTTGTGGGAGCCGTTTCGGAGAGAGAAGCAAGGATTTGGGGGAAATCGCAGTCGGAATTCGGGTCGGGTTAAGATTCAACAGCGAGAGGAAGAAGATGAGTCCAGAAAGGGTATTTATCCGTTGAAAGGGTGGACCCGAGGTTCTTGAGTGCGACGTTTCTAATCTGACACAAAGATCGAAGGCGGCTCATCATTAGTTTTCTAGCGACACGTTGCCAGAAAACTAGGGGGCTTGTGATGGATATCGGGTCTGGTAGACCCGACTCCAGGCCCAAATGAAGGAACATAATAGCCCAAAAGGTATAAGATCAGGTGGAGATGACGGGCCAAGCCCGTTATCTCGCATATGGCAAGTAAAGGAAGACGGCCCAGACATGAGATAGATCAAGGTGACCCCGTCCAAGGGAGGAATGGGGACACATGGCCCACATCATCGAGTTGTGGGCGAAATGGGAAGAGAACGAGACCGGAAAGAAGGGGAATCACAACCCCATGATCTCCATAATCCATTTCCATTTTGTATAATTTTAATTAGAATATTATAAGTACTATAAAAAGGGAAAGACCCCGCCATTGTAAGACACGACAACAAGAAAAAGAACAACAAAACAGTTCAATACTCAATTAAAGAATATTAAGTGATTATATCTTCCTAGTTCATATTACGTTCTTGGTCCGCCATCTGATCGGGTTAATCCCATCACTAATTATATTGTGCATTTCACAACATTAAAGATAAATTAATTGCTTCATAAATAGTTGCTACGTATATACAACCTGAACTTGGAGCTTGATGACATGGTAGAAGATAGGTTATAAATTGCACAGAAATGTTTTCTTATTTTCAGTATATAGTGTTTTTTATTATGTATAAAAGAACTTTTATAGGTATAGAATGCGTAACGCATGATCAATGTTCAATAACTAGAATTTAACAAGCTTGAATAACACACGGATTAAATATCGCATACATGCATTTTTCTTACATTTCTCTTTTATAAAAGTAAAAATTTTTCAATATAAGATTAAAACATCTCACTTCTCCCTATATAGGAGTTACTATTTTTTCTTCATATAGGAGTAATTTTAATAAAGGCTACCCCTTCGCTAATTTTTCTACACATTTGATGCATATTAAATCTTATTTAGTATTCCTAGCCTTACATATATATTTAGAATATTATTACACATGAGGAATGCTAGTCTCATAAACAAAATTGTCACAAATATCACAAACTTACCTTTTTGTATTAGACTAGTATTTTGACCCGTGCGATGCATGGAGTCAAATATAATGAATTTTTTGGCAATTTTAAATTTTTTTTAATTTCAATGCAACACACACACACACAAATACACACACACACACACATATATATACATACATACATACATACATACATACATACATACATACATACATACATACATACATACATATATATATACATACATACATATATATATATATATATATGATGACGGGATCTATATATATATATATATATATATATAACTTACCTACTTGTAGGATTAAGCGTGGTCACGTACTGTGGGGCGGTACATGGTTAGGTCTAGACCGAAACAAGCGTTATAAAATAGGACGGAGGTAGTAGCAATTAGCGCTGTTCATGGTTAGGTTCAGACCGAAAAACCCGACCGAACCGGACCGATAGGTCCCGACCGAACTCGGACCTAATCGATTTTGGGTCGGTCTTCGATCTATACTTTTTAAAATTTCGGGTTTCGGTCCGGTCCGGTCCAGACCCAAAATAATATAGGTCCAGACCGAGAGGACCGATTGCAACTCGGTAGTCCTGTATTACTCTAGCCCTATTTCTTCCCCATGTTTTCTCCTCCGTTCATGATACGAACTCTTTTCGGGATAGGGAAGACTCAGAGCGTCTTCGAGCTCTTGAGAATATGGGACGAGGTAGAAGAAGAAGAATTGAGGCGAAGGAGAGAATCAGCGAACCGAGGAGGAAGGGAATTAGGGTTTGTAATTCGTTTATTGATTGAATATTCTAAATGAGGTTACATCTCTATTTATAGGAGACAATGAAACCCTAGCTAAGCATAAACGTAACCTGACGGTTCAATAAAAGCAACGAGGGAAAGAACCGTAAAGAAACCTTGAATGAGCTCATAATTTTGCTCACCTATTAAAATCTACATTACAATAATAATGATAATAGTAATAATAATAATAACAATAATAATAATAATACTAATTATCCCACTCTACTATCCATAATACTCTCACCCCCTCAGAAAACCACCTTGTCCTCAAGGTGGAGGCTCCCACTCATGCTTCGAGACTGGAGAGAAAATGTTGACCCAAAGATTATGCCCACTTGATGATAGATTTTCATTAAGCCTGCAAATTGGAGTATAGCGATGGACATAAGAGAGAAGAGCAAATACAAACTTAGCTACCGGCGGTGAAACCCAATACTCGGACTCCACTATATTCGCATGGGCTGAGGACTTGATGATATCAAAGAACAGTGAAATGTCCGCTTGCGTATAATTTGCATCTGCTACTTGGTCTGTTTTGGACGAAGGCACAAGGCTACATGTGATGATGACATTGCTCAATGTTGGATCCTTTGCAACTTCTCCCGTACCCGGTGCATCTACCTGCGCATCAACAGTGACAAGATCCGATGGAAAGGCATTAACAATACCTTCAACAGAAACACCATCAGCATCAACTGCAGGATCTCTCACTAAATCCCCTACCGTACGCTCCACAGATTCCATGTCAGTAGATGTAGGATTGTGTAGAGTGGTTGTGGGAACCAAATCAGGTGGAGCAATGGGAATGCCGAGAAGATTCCTTATAGCATTCATCATCCTTATTTTGAAACTTTTTAACTCCAAGGGAATATCACTCAATGACATTGGAGTACCACGCACCAAATCTTGTATGGAGCAAGAGATTTCCACATTGAACGCATATAACTCAGAATCAGAATACGATAGATCTAAAAGATGACGAAATGAGTGGAGCGTCTTCAAAATTTCATCCACATGATCATAAGCTATACACACACCGTCATGAAACTCAACTCTTCCATAAAAGATATTTTTCAACACACCAATAAGCTTGTCCAAAGCATCCTCAGTTGTCAAGATAATTTTATCAACAACCGAGGCCATAGTTATCCCAGAAGGAAAGATGGACAGTGACTTGAATTGCCTGTGCGATTGGGCCGGTGCTGCCTTCTTTAACCTCGATTCAACAGCGAGAAAACAGCTCCCTTTATTTTCAAGAGTATTGCGGCACAACAATTTGGCAATGGCCAACTGAAATTAGGCCAGCAATTCCTCTCTCTCTCTTGTTCTCCAAGGTTTAGATTCTGCAGTTCCACTAATTCCAAAAAAATAAAATAAGAGCCGAAGAGGCACCAGGTCTTCTTGTAGTAAGTTGATCTGGATCCAATAACTGCAATTCTCGGCTACAAGACCCCCAATGTAACAGATCAGCAGTGGCGGCAGAAAAATTGGTGATGCGTCAGTAGTGATTTTTTTTTTGTGTTTTGGGGTTCAAATCTGGACGTCGGCGGAGGGAATTGGATAATTGCAACAGTTGATGGCGGCAGAAAATGGAATCAAGACGGTGGACTTTGTTGGTGGCACAAGACAACACAACTAGGGTTCTTCCTTAAGCGGCGGCAGAACCAAGAGTTTTTTTTGGGGTTTTTTTTGGAGTTTGAGTCTCTCAACGAGAGCACCAATGATACGAACTCGTATCGGGATAGGGAAGACTCAGAACGTCTTCGAGCTCTTGAGAATATGGGACGAGGTAGAAGAAGAAGAATTGAGGCGAAGGAGAGAATCGGCGAACCGAGGAGGAAGGGAATTAGGGTTTGTAATTCGTTTATTGATTGAATATTCTAAATGAGGTTACATCTCTATTTATAGGAGACAATGAAACCCTATCTAAGCATAAACCTAACCTGACGGTTCAATAAAAGCGTCGAGAGAAAGAACCGTAAAGAAACCTCGAAGGAGCTCATAATTTTGCTCACCTAATAAAATCTACATTACAATAATAATGATAATAATAATAATAATAATAATAATAATAATAATAATAATAATAATAATAATAATAATAACTGATGGGAACCAAGCCCATCGAGAGGAATGTGGCAAATTGGGCCTAAGCCCAATCGGGACCCATCCATCAAAAGGAGTGTCCGGCCCAGATAAAATATACCGGGCCGGTCAAAGGAAGGCTGTCTGTAAAGAAAGATAGGAAAAGGAAGAGAAGTGGGGCTTAAGAATGGGCTGAAGCCAGCCCATTAAGGGTGAGCTACCCACGAAGAGAGGAATCCTATGAGGAGTTTGGGGAGTCCCCCCTTTCATTTGAAGGAACAGGGACGAGGAGAAAGAGACGGACGAAGGACAGGGAGCAAGAGATGGACAGAAGGCTTTGTCCTCCAGTGGATGGCCTCAAGTGGAGATACATTCCTCCCAGAGGATGCAGGCTGGCAAGAACATTCCCCCTGGCCACTGCCATTATTGAAAGGAATCATGGAGGGAAGTGCCTATAAAAGAAAGGGAGACTAGAGGAGAAAGGATCATCTTGTAATAGAGAGAGAAAATACTTGAGTAAATAATAAAAGATATTCCGGCGATCCTTAAGCATATTCCGTTTCTAAGAGGACCGAATAAAGGAGAGGACCGCCGATTTGAGTTATTATCCAGTGAGCAGTGCTTCTATTACTATTAATTATTATTCTCGTATTATCTTTCAATATTATAAGGCCCGAATACCTATATTTGAACCTGGGCCGATCTACAGTCCTTGGGAAAATACTGGGTATCCATCACTGGCGCCACCCGTGGGACAGATTGAAGCTTCCTAACCTTCTAGGGAGTTGATAGCGAGCCTATCTCACTCTTGTTCACTCGGAAAGACCTCTTCCTAGACCTGGGGAGAATTAGCGGTCCATTCCAAGTGAAGGGGATAAGTTCGCGGTCCACCCAGAAGGACTCCTCCTTTTAGTCGGTCCACTGTTCAAAAAAAAAAAAAAAAGAGAGTGAAAGGAGGACCGATCTTCCACAGAGGACCGCATTTATCAGCCGGTCATACAGGAGGACCGATTTCTTGCTCAGAGGCCGCTATCTCCCGTTGGTCCGCCTTTTTCATCAAGAAAAAGTTTCCAACTGTTACCATGGGCAAAAATCGGTCTAAGAGGAACAAAATTGCTGCTAAGGCGCGAACCAACTTGGAAGGGAAAGAGAAGCTTTCATCTGAGGATCTCAGACACCAAATAACTCTCTCCCAATCCAGGCGTGAAACACAAGACAAATCTTGTGAACGCAGTTTCCACTCTAAAGCCCCTAAGAGTTCTCATCCAAAGGATTCCCATGCAGCAACAGAAAAATTCGACACCAACTCCCCCATAGTCCGAAAGTTAATCGGATGGCTCAACAAGGAAGGAGAGGCCCGGTCCCAAGGGACCGGGAGAGAAACCGGTCAAGGAGAGGATGAGGAGGTGGAAAGTCAAGGGCGCATATCAGTACATAAGAGGATGCGCAAAAATGCGTCCCAAAGGTTGGGACCCAGAACTGAGGAATCTGGAGAAAATTCTGGGGGGCACGGCAATGAAGATGCCGGAGACATCCTCAAATTGAGAAAAGAAATGGAGGAACTAAAGAGGCAGGTTGACAAGGACGGGTCTTTCGGACCCACAGTAGAGATAATTTCTCCCTTTACTGCCAGAGTGATGAAAGCTCAACTGCCCAGGGGTATGAAAGCCCCTGAAATCNGTTATAAGGGAGTCACCGATCCCAATGATCACTTGGCTGCGTACCAAACTCACATGTTGATGCACGCCGTGGAGGACGAGATCCAATGTCGCCTCTTCGTAGGAACCTTGGAAGGGCCGGCCGTAAAATGGTTCCTCACTCTTCCTAATGGGACCATTGATTGCTTCAAAGATCTTGCTCAACTTTTCCTCAACGCCTATGGAGGAAGGTTCCAGCCAAAAAAGCACTTCACCCATCTTTTCTCCCTAAAGCAAAAGGAGGGAGAGACCAACAGTGAATTGGTACAAAGATGGAATGAAGCAATCAATGAGGTGGAGCCTATGGACGATAAGACTTCCATTGCTCTGTTCATGAATGTTCTCAGGTCGGGGGAATTATTCAGGAAGTTAGATTATGATACCCCTACTTCTTACAAGGCTATGATGGCTAGGGTTAACAAGTTCTGCGCCACGGAAGAGTCGGATCGCCTGAAAGGAAAGAGCGAGGGAGCCTGGCAAAAAGGCCCGGACAAAGAAAAGAAAGGAGAAAAGACCAAGGCGGCCACTCTCTCCATCCCTACCCTCAAGTCACTGGCCGCACCAGTGGCAGAAATAAAGAGCAAGGAGGAAGGTGGGCATAAGAGGAAACGTGGAGACCAAAAGAGAAGGCAGTGGCCCTATGACCCAGAAAAATATTGCAACTTCCATAGAAGGCCTGGACACTGAAGAATGCCATTTCCTCAAAAAGATGGAAGGAGAGATGAAGGACAAGGAACCGAATGCCAATCAGGAGCCGAACCAAGGAGGTAATGTTTGGCGCAGGGACGCCCAACCTCAACAACAAGTCTAGGAGAACCCGGAAGAATTTCCCCAAGTAGGAGTCATCTTTGGCGGTCCAGAAACAGGAGTCACAAGCAAGGAGAGGAAGGAATGGGCTCGCAAGCTGTATGTGGGGTCCATTGACATAGGCCAAGCGGCCAAGAAAGGAAGGAGGGAGCCCATTGTCTTCTCGGACGAAGACTTACCACTCATTCTTAGTCCTCATCGGACCCCCTGGTAATTTCTATGGCTATTCACAAATTTTTTGTCAAAAGAATATTGGTGGACACTGGAAGCAGTGTCAATGTGCTGTACTGGGAAGCCGCCCAGCAATTGGGAATCAGGAAGGGAGATCTCACAAAGCTTAACATGCCCTTGTCCGGCTTCACTGGAGATATAATTGAACCGGAAGGGTCCATTAAATTGGACATCATCATAGGCGAGCATCCTAAGGTGAGGCATATGAGGATGGATTTTGTAGTGGTCGACATCAAATGCGCTCACAATGCCATCTTAGGGAGGCCTGGGCTAGAGGACTTGGGAGGTGCACTATCCCTTGAGCACCTGTGCCTCAAGTTTAGGACTCCCGAAGGTGTTGGGAGGGTCCTTGGTGATCAGCCCGCGGCCAAGAAGGCCTATCTAAGCGCCTGTAAGAAGATAGACAAGGAGAACCTCAACATCCAAACCAT